CGGTACATGTATTCCGTTACTCCCCAACACTGTATATAATACAAAGAAAGTTTCTATCAGCGGTGTGTGTGCGTGTGTGTTACACAGCTCTGTTTTGAGGTGACTGCAGAATGTTATCTACCTCAAGCTGTCGCTGAGGCTCGGCTGACTAAAGGAAGTCCAGTCCAAATGAAACTGTTTGAGAAATATTAGGCAAAAATTTGAGAAAGAGTAAAAGACCTCTGGCTGTGTGAGAGGATGAGCAGAATAGGCACGTGTGAGCGTGTTTGTACTGTACAGCTGTGTTTCTGTGGACCAGTCTTTAGACTTACCAGAGTGAGAACACCTTTCACCCCTCTTTAAAGGGCTGTTTGAAGGTTAAGACTTGGGATTAGGCACAGAGCAATGATATTTATTATGTAGGACCAGGGAGTTACACATTTAACTTATTGTCCTCGCAAAGCTAGTACTGCAAAAGTGTGTATTTTCCTGATATGGAGCTGTGTGTTTCTGCTGTTTTCTGGCTCCGCTGGCAGGCCTCACAGACTGGAACAGGAAGTTGCATGTGGGTGCACGTATAGAGGAAGGTAGCCCTATAAATTGTATTTGTGCCTATCTAAATAATAATTAAAAGTGCTGAAACAAACCAGAACTAAAGTTGCCTGGTTATTTATTCTGATCAACAAGCATGTTCATTTTCCCTACAATTAAAGGTGCAGGAGGTATAAATTGTGTTCCAACCTTTGCTTTTTTCCTTTTCACCAGATGAAAATTAGAAAATACACTAAAAATGTTGAAATCACAGCCTCTGGTTTCACACAGGATTCAAACCCCACACTCATCTGAAAGTGTTCTGCTTATGCTATCACACTGCTGCGGTGTGTACTGCCCATTTTCAGGGGTCTGTTTCAGAAAGCGGGTTTAGAAAACTCAGAGTTAAAAATGATACTCAGGGTTGACTAACCCGAACTGTCCAACTCGGAATATTCGGTTTCAGAAAGGCTGATAACAATTAGTTCAATCAAAGCGGAGTTGCTTTAACCCCAAGTTTAGCGCGCGCACGAGGATACATAAAGCCCTGATTAGTGGAGCACAGATTAAGCGAGTCACCATGGAGACGGAGGGAAAGAAGGCGCGGTCAATGTATTTTACAGCGCTTGAGGCCGAAATTCTGATGGCAGCATAAGCCGATAACATGCAAATTTTGCGGGAAAAAAGTAACACAGCCTCAGCTGCAAAAGAAAGGGAGCATGCATGGCAAAACATAGCCGACAGAGTCAATGCGTGAGTGATAATTTAAACATTGATCTAGGGATTTCCACCCATTTAACATTATCAGTTTACAGTAGAACAGCAATGTTGTTAATTTCTTTACTACAGGAAAATAATGAAGAAACATTGACAACTGGTACAGAGGAGGGAGCAACAGAGACACTTCATGAGGTTTACATCTTACATTGGAAAATATAACAATTGAATAAAATGTGGTATTATAATAAAACCATGGACATGTCTCTAACAGAGTGATGATGGAAATGAAGAGGAAGAGGGTCCAGCCACTTCTCCAACAAACCTTTCCTCAGTAAGATGTTCAGCACTGATTTACAACCAACCTAAGTAGGCATGTACTATGAATGTCAATGCAATTTTCTGTGTTTCAATAGCTCCCTGTAAAGCAGCTGTACAAGACCTATTTGATCAAGAAAATAAAAAAATGCGACTTGGAAATGGAACACTTCAAGCAGCAGATCCAAAAGACCAAGATTGAGATTTTACTGCTGGAACATCAGTTAAGGGTGGGTGAAGTGGTCAGAAATGGACGAATTATTTCAGTGTTTGAACAACATAATAATATACTTATTAATACTTTGTGTACAGGAAATACAGGCGACCAATAAAGCCAGTTGAACAAAAAATCTGTTTATTCTTCTTTCAACATGGGTCAAAGGAAATGATTGTGACATATGGTGTCTCTGACTGCTCTTCCATCTTGTATGTCCGTGGGAGGGTCAGGAGGTTCATGGTTTGGATCACTGGGTCAGGGTAAGGGGTAAGCAAATAGGGTAAACATGGATACCCCCTATCACCAAGCAAGTAGCCAGTGAACTCTCCTAAGACAGAAGGATACACTTCAGTTCAAATGTCCCTGTAGCAATTGGTCTTTATATATTTTAAAGTATTTTCAACTCACCATGTCCACATTTTGTGCTCAGTGTACATCCACGAAAAATTCGTGAGTCATGAACAGAGCCTGGCCACTTGGCTTCCACATTTGTGATATTGTGTGATTTGGCAGCATCACATATGATCTTCACAGTGCAGAGAACACAAATTAGCATCGATTACTATAATGAAATAATTTGTTAGTTTGAAATGCTACAGGGAACTATGTACCTGTACATTAATGCTGTGGAAAGACTTCCTGTTCACATAGCCTCCTTCATTTACTGAAGCCATCTATACAGCCAATCACGCCTAGGAACCCTGACAATAAATGTAAAATTTAAGTAGTAGTTCAAGTATCATCACATTATGAATTAAGTTTTGTTCATCCTGATACCTGCAATTTTGTGGAATCCCTCTTTGATAAATCTTGCAATACAAATATGTACAGAACTGAGAGAATGTCCGCGATGTGTCACATGAGCAATATTCGGCCTGAGGATGTTATTCAAATAAATTATAGATTGTGCTGAAAAACGGTAACGTTCACACAGAAAATCATCAGGAAATGATAAAATGTCCAAACGCGCTCTAATCACTCTCTCCCGGCGGAGAGCTCTGCGGAGAATTTGGGCTTCAACATCTACTGGCTCTTCAAGGAAGGGGCACGCCATGTCTGACAATTCCTACAGTCAGGTTTCCGACAAAGAAGCGGAGGAAGTCAGGGTTAGTTGAAGTAAACCTGCTAGGGGGCAGGTTAGCTTCACGGAGTGTGTCGTCATTTGTGAAACCGAAAACCCAGAGTTTTCGTTAACTCAGGGTATACTTACTCAGAGTTTGCACTACACCGGCTTTCTGAAACAGGGGTTGAAGTGGGAGCTGGCAGATCAGGGAACCCTAAACAGTAAAAATATTTAACCTCTCACATCGATCTGCCATTGAGCTCCAGTCGAGTTTCTGTGCATGAGCAAAATTCATGAGCAAAATGCATACTGCATGAGATACCTTTCCACCCCCCACCTAGTATAAAGGTTCGATTTGGTGCATGGAGTAAGTTATCATAAATGAACCTTTTACTTGCAGGCACTAGTAAGGAATAGCTGTTGAGCTGTTTTAACAACTCTGAATTTGCCTGACATTAAAAAAATGATAAGCTAAGGTCTCAGTAGCAGTGAACTCACTTGTGGTGAATGTAGGGCCGTGCAGAGATGTTTAAAGGAGCGGGTGCTCAAAGTTAAAAAGGGGCACATTGAACCAGGCTGAATAACAACAACACACATTCATCAAGAATCTAATATAAGGCAAAGCAAACGTAGCCGATGTTTTACCTGATGGGTACAATGTTGCTGTTGAGGGGTTGCTGTGGATAGTGCTGGAGGACAGGGCTGTGCTGATCTGAGACTGTAGACATTAAAAAGTCCATAGGAGAGATGGTAGCTCTATTACATGCATTTGAATGGATGTATGTTTTCATCTTGTGAATAACTTGAAAAGCTTAGCTCAAACAGCTGCAAAACCTGTTTGCCCAAAACGAAGATATTGAATTCTATAAGATAAAGCCATAAATATGTGTGTCTGAGTCTTCTATCAAAAGTTACAGCTATTTATATGAAGTTGTACAAAAACGCTTCATTTGGTCAAGAGGGTGACTTTCTTACGATTACATGCATTTGAATGGGGAACTCGCCCCAAGCAAAGTATAGGTTTTCATTATGTGAATAACAGCTTAGCGCAAACAGCTGCAAAACCTGTTTGTCCAGCACGGGGATATTGGATTCTATAAGATAAAGCCATAAATACGTGTGTCTGAGTCTTCTATCAAAAGTTATAGGTATGTTTATGAAGTTGTACAAAAAAACTTTGTGTGTTTTTGTGCGTTTCTGACTATTCACATGCATTTGAATGGAGTTCTCGCACGAAACAAAGTATAGGTTTTCATTTTGTGAATAACTTGAAAACATTAGCTCAAACAGCTTTAAAACCTGTTTGCTCAACACGGGGATATTGAATTCTATAAGATAAAGCCATAAAGATGTGTGTCTGAGTCTTCTATCAAAAGTTACAGCTATGTTAAGTTGTACAAAAACGGTTTCTTTCGCCAAGACAGTGCGTTTCTCACTGTTACATGCACCGATATCATGCACACTTCACCAGGGCCAGTGGTGTTAGCTAAGGCCATCCACATTACACCAGGGTGTGTGGTGCTTACCAATACCATTCATATTTGACCAGGGCCAGTGGTGTTAGCTAAGGCCATCCACATTACACCAGGGTGTGTGGTGCTTACCAATACCATTCATATTTCACCAGGGCCAGTGGTGTTAGATGAGGCCATCCACATTACACAGGAACCTGTGCTGCTGGTCATCCACATTACCCCAGGGCCTGTGGTGCTGGCCGAAACCATCCACATTTAACCACGGCCAGTGTTCCCTATGAGGCCATGTTCACCATACCAGGGCCTGCGTTGCTGGCTGAGGACATTCACATTGCACCTGTGCTCCCTGTGAGACCATCCATCCATCCATTCATCTTCATCCGCTTTATCCGAGGCCGGGTCGCGGGGGCAGCAGCCTAA